TTTGAACCAGGCTGTAAAAATATTGTAGGTATCCATTCCTTTTTAAAGTAATGGTTTTGTCGATCTTGGCTATCCCATTTACACAAACATAGATACTTCGTAAATCCTGACTGCTGACACAGAATCATAGATAAAATTTTCAAATCCCCGCAAATCAATCATTTGTGCCCTTCATAATTAAGTTTTTTCAATACCATTTCTATGTTTGTATATTCTTCTTTCAATACAGTGGAGTGAGCAACAGGAATTGGAGCAAATTTATTGGTATTGTGCAGTAAGACACCCTTGAGAATCCTTGAAAAGGAGTCTATGAACAACCGCCACTTATTAACTTTACAAGCGGCTGATTTTAGTTTATTAATTAACTTTACTAGATCGTGACAATAAACTAGATTAGAGTCTTGAGTGAAAAAACTCCTGTACTCTTAATCTCAATCGCGATAAAACTAAGTTACTTAAGTTGTTTGGGCCAACATGTTTCTTGATTTTTAATGTGAGGCCAGTAATTCAGCTGATTCTTTGGATAAACCCAAGTTCCTCATTAAATCATTGAGTTATTCTTGAGAATACTTTTTTACTGTTTTCTTAGATTTTTGTCGTATCGAATGAACTCGTCTTCAGAATTTTCTTCTTTTTCTTCTTCTTCTCCTTCTTCGTCTGATTCATTGCTGTCCATTTCATCTTCCATTTTATGATGAGAATTCGTGTTTTTTTTTTTTTTTGGAATTCTCCGTAACATTCAATCCTTCTAAGTAAGTAACAAGCTTCTTACTTGTGGAACTATCACTTTTTTTCTGATTCAAGAATAGCTTTCGTAACCGCCGAATATTCGGGTTGAACTATGAGCTAAGTTTTGATTTTTTTGATTCCACCAACATCCGTGTTCTGGAAATAAAAATTCGCTGTGCTGCGTGACTCTCTTTACATTGTAGGAAAAATGAACTTTGATCTTTTTTTTCCGGTAGTCTTCCATCTGTCTAACATAGATGAGTATGATCTACAAATTTTTAGAGGGCCCCATGCATTTCTATTAGAAATTATGACATTAAAGCAAGACTTGTACAAATTTCTTAATGTACTTGTCAATTTTGGTAGTTTTTTAGCAACTTTGTCGTCACCACAGAGGAAACAGAATGTATCCAGAGAATCAGTATATTTGGAATTCACGATGCGATGCAAAGAAAGAATGTTTTTTTCATCCACAAATAATGTGAATTCCGCGCGCTAGGGATCCTGTTCCGATTGCAGGCGAGTCAGTCGTCTAGGGGTCATAATACTTATACCTCCCAGGTCTAAGTATGAAGGCTTCCTGACTTTGATGAGGACATTGTCAACTCATCGTCGTACACACTACGGCATCATTCTCACACCCTGACGTACAGTGGGCAAAAAGTGAGTGACATCTATTAACATTCTTGCTTTAACTAAGTTTTTGCCTGATTTCAACGATTGAGGGCTTAAAATTTTCGTAATGAAGTTGTTTGCAATATGTGATACTGATTTTTTTGATACTTCTTATTTTAGAACAGGTTTACAGCGGTCAAATGTAGAAGTTTTCACAAAAAAATCACAACTTTATAATTATTTGGAAGCAATGAACAAAATATGTAATGATTAGTATCATTTTTATGGTTTTTTAGGTCCCTGATTACGAATCTGATGTCAGATTCGCAATATTTGACAGCAACATCTCTGTGGGACCAGGCTGACAGGTGATATTTATCTCATGGTAAAAAGTTTCCATGTTGGATGTCATTTCCAAGGTTTTAAGGGTCGCTGATTACAAATCTGACGTCAGACTCGCAATATTCGACAGCAGCATTTCTGCGAGACCACGCTGATAGGTGATGTTCACCTCGTGGTAAACAATTTCCATGTTTGATGTCATTTCCATGGTTTTTTGGGTCGCTGATAACAAATATGACGTCAGATTTGCAATATTCAACAGCAGCATTTCTGTGAGACCATGCTGACAGGTGATGTTCATCTCATGGTAAAAAATTTTCATATTAGGTGTTATTTCCATGGTTTTATGGTTGTTTTTTTATATATGTATCAATAAAAATGATGATATAACGTATACTTTTGAAACAACTATGATAGACACTTGCCTAGATTTAAAAAAAATGAACTGGTACATTATTAATAAACCACATAATTAATTGATAAAGCTTTTGTGGAGGAAATTTTTTTTTTTTTTTTTAGTATGGTGATAAGTACGTATTAGAGTGTGCACACTTACCTGAGAGAGTGGAGTTTTATATGAATGCTTATAACTATATATAGGTATTAATGACTACCCTAAAATTTTTGCTTGTCGTTACTTTTTACCTTAAGTATAACATAAAAAAATGGTTTGCTCAATTAAAAGTTCCTTGCAAGCTGTGGCAATATTTGGCATAACTAAAAAAGTTATATTGGAAACGTCCAACTTTTCTATTCTATGTAAAGCAGAATTGCGTAGAATAAAACTTTTTTTTTGCATAAACTGACTCTTCTCTAAGGCAAGCTTAATTTGTTCATAAAAACCACAGCTCTACCCCTCGCTTTTTAGATAAAAAGGGAGTGCACACACTCACCCTGAGAGCACACTTACACAAAATTACTCTAAGGTTAATATTTGTCCGTGTGATGTCACAAAAGTAGAACAGCTAAATCTCGTTAATCTGGCGTTAGATTCGTAATTAGCGACCCAAAAAACCATGAAAATAATACTAATTATTACACATTTTGTTCTTTACTTCCAAATAATTATAAAGTTGTCATTTTTTGTGAAAACTTTTGCATTTGACCTCCGTAAACCTGGTCTAAAATGAGAAGTATGAAAAAGGTCGGTATCACATATCGTCAACAACTTCATTACAAAAATTTTAAGCACTCAATCGTTGAAAAGGGCAAAAACTCAGTTACAGGGAGAATTTTAACAACTTTCACTCACTTTTTGGCCACTGTGTGATGCCCCCGGGCAGTATGCCTTCGCTGGCTTCGTAACCACGGTGCAGCGGAAGGCGAATCATTCTATACATCATCATCTGAAGCAGTTTTCGACGCTTCCGCTATCCACCGTTCTAGCAGAATTGATTTGTATCGTTTACTCATCGAAGACGTCGATATCTTACAGATCAGAGGACAGTTTTACGTACCATTGAGGTTGGAGTGATCGGCAGTCAATTATCACGATATATTGAAACTTTTATTTACATCAGAGAAAAAAATTGATAGTTCCACAAGTAAGAAGCTTGTTACTTACTTAGAAGGATTGAATGTTACGGAGAATTCCAAAAAAAAACACGAATCCTCATGATGAAATGGAAGATGAAATAGACAGCGATGAATCGGACGAAGAAGGAGAAGAAGAAGAAAAAGAAGAAAATTCTGAAGACGAGTTCATTCGATACGACAAAAATCTAAGAAAACAGTAAAAAAGTATTCTCAAGAATAACTCAATGATTTAATGAGGAACTTGGGTTTATCCAAAGAATCAGCTGAATTACTGGCCTCACATTAAAAATCAAGAAACATGTTGGCCCAAACAACTTAAGTAACTTAGTTTTATCGCGATTGAGATTAAGAGTACAGGAGTTTTTTCACTCAAGACTCTAATCTAGTTTATTTTCACGATCTAGTAAAGTTAATTAATAAACTAAAATCAGCCGCTTGTAAAGTTAATAAGTGGCGGTTGTTCATAGACTCCTCTTCAAGGATTCTCAAGGGTGTCTTACTGCATAATACCAATAAATTTGCTCCAATTCCTGTTGCTCACTCCACTGTATTCAAAGAAGAATATACAAACATAGAAATGGTATTGAAAAAACTTAATTATGAAGGGCACAAATGATTGATTTGCGGGGATTTGAAAATTTTATCTATGATTCTGTGTCAGCAGTCAGGATTTACGAAGTATCTATGTTTGTGTAAATGGAATAACCAAGATCGACAAAACCATTACTTTAAAAAGGAATGGATACCTACAATATTTTTACAGCCTGGTTCAAAGAATATCAAAGCAGCTATTCGTTGAGCCGAGTAAAATTCTTCTACCTCCTTTACATAATAAATTAGGATTGATGGAACAGTTCGTTAGGGCGAGTATTAAAAAAGAATCTTTGAAGTCGATCTGTATTTATACATGTGGCTAGTTTTTGACCAGAAAAAGTTTTTTTTTGACACTCTGTGCAACTCAGCGTATGAAGTATTTTTCTACAGTCATCAAGAATTTATAAACGAAGACTAAATCATAAGTAAACTAAAATCGAAAAGGTACATGAGCAGTTCGCGTTGCAGAGAACACGTATCAATTGAGAATGGAAGTGAATAACAAAGAAGTTGATAACATTAGTAACAGTAAAAGTAATGAAAATAGATAACAGTTTGTTTCAGTGTGCCTTAAGAATTTTTAAACATAATTTAGAGACCGTCTTTTTTATTTATTATAAGTGATGGTGAAATTAATTAGTAAAATTTTGATAACTACTTCTTCATTATAATTATTTTTAATGTCTAAAATATTAAAATCAAAACTATGGTTGAAATTTTTACATTGTGACATAACTAAAAAATCTTTATTTTTTATTATTTTAAGGTTAACTGATTCGCTTAAATTATTGCAAATAAAACCATATAAACATTAGTGTTATCTGTATATATTTTTCTTTATTTGTGTTTGTTTTATGTTATCAGTTATTTAGTTCGTTGATGAAAGTTAGATTTATCTAAATATATGGAGAATAATTTAAAGACAGCATGAAGAAAAGGAATAGAGATATGTTTTATATTACATGTATTAGAATGAGTAGTAATGTTGTGAAAATGAGAAATTTGTATTACATAACATTTTACAAATTTCAATCAGAGTTCAGATTTTGATAATGATACAGTTTTTGAGACTTAAAGTAATTATTACAAAGAACCGTAACAATTATAAACATTATACTTAAATCGTTGTTTCAAATAATATAATATTTATTAAGTATAAAGTTGATGTCATTCCATATTTTTAGGCTACCTATCAGAACAACGTCAAGAGGTCTAATAACATTTTGAGTACCTACAAAATAAAGGCTTCTAACGAATTAGCAAATGGCATTAATTTTCAACCCATCAACGCTCTGAAGAGGCAGCAATACTTAGCTGATTGTAAAAGCAATGTCACTATTAACAATGAAGTCTTTAATCGTATTATAAAACATCAACAACAGCAGCAACAACAAAAACAACAACAACCACAACAACAAACGGTGCGACCGACAACCGACGTTTTATGTAATATAGGACTGATGCAAAGTTCCAGAGTTTGTCCTGCGCAAACGATGATACCAATCCCTGTGACTGCACCACCACCAATCGCCATTTTTGAAAGCAGCCTAGGCTTAAAAAATGCAACATCAACAAGAAAGTCTGGCCCATCTAGAATGCTGTACCGAAGACTGGAACAAACTTACGAGCAATTCAAACAGCTGGAAAAAGAACGCAAAAAGTGCGAGGCTGGACTTGCAGCACATTTTCCTGGAAGAAAGGTGACAAGCGCTAATAACATACCTGTTCCAAGACTCCAGGGTAGCCCATCAAGAGTCGATAGACTTATCGTCGATCATTTCCGAGAGCATGCTCGTGTCATAACTCTGATAGCAAAAGTAAGTATTATCTGTTCGTAATAAGTTTTCATTTAAAATGACACTAAAGTAATTTAAATTTCACAACTTTTGTCAGATAGTGATTATCAAGATGATCATGTAACTTTCTGTGTGATGTATGTTACTAACTAAACTTCATTGCACCAATCACTAGTTATCTGAAAATATTTATAATAGTTTTTTCTATCGTTTTTTTAATCTTTGGTCATGGAAGGAGGTTCAAAAATTTTTATGAATCATTGTATATTGTACATGAGTCTACTGTAACACGTAAAAAACTTTTTGATACCTCTTTGCAAACGTTCTTTAAACGAAAAAATTACTAATAGTAACTTCCTAATACGTGACCTAGCGGACAAAGTCTGTTTCTTATTTTTTTCCCTACCCGTGCATTGCTTAAGTAATTTTTTAAGCACCTCGACTACCTCTGTATGTAAGGTGTAAGGTGTTGATTCTTAACTGGGCTAGAACCTTTTACCTCGTCTTATATTATCTAAGTTAATCCCTAGCCTCCATCCTGACTTCCCTAACTAACCCTTCTGTATCTCTTTTTCCATCCTTACCTCTGATTGCAACCCTTTCAAACTGATCTTATCCCTTCTCTAGGATGTTCACAGAATCTACTTTAGGTAGCCCAGAAATGCAAAGCCAACCACGAAATTTTTTTGCGTAAAAGTTGGTATTGTCGATTGAAACTATCGAGGAATCGTTCCATACGACAATATATCCATGTACGTGTAAAAAAAAATTACTGAGGTAAAATTCAATATTCATCAATTCTTATTAATACTAATAATAATTAATAATAATAATCATGATAAATTTAATTGTTAACAATTAATAACTAAATTTGTTGTAACTATTATCAATTATTAGTATTTATAAAAATTAGTTAATGATAAATTTTAACCTTGTAATTTTTTGTCATACTCATTTAGTTCTTATAAGAAAAACGTTAGCTAGAGTGTCGTGTGGCACGATTGGTACATACCCAAGAGCTTTGATGGCTTAGCAGTTAGCGTGCTAGCCTTCTAGTTGGAGATACTCGAGGGGTTGTGGGTTCGAATCCCATCTAAAATTATCGAGATATTTTTCTCGAGCTTTTTCGATGGGATGAGTACCCAGGATGCTAAAACACCACTTAAGGTAAACGGGGGTATTATTAAGGTTTTTTTTAGTGGTTAGCTTTAAACGATTGTCTAAGAAATTAATTGCGTCAAATCGTTGTGATTTTTTATTTTTTATTAATGTTGGACTCAAAAACTATTAAATTCTACTTTTATGAATGTATAAACTCATTAAAATAGATTGAAAAAGAGGTTTTAAAGTTCAGTTGTCAATGCTGGTATTATTGTGGGCCTGTATGTATTATTGTGCATGTATTATTGTGGTCAATTTCAATACTAAATCAACTGGGTATTGGCAATAATACCATCATAGTGAAAGAGGTTATGTGTGCACCAGTTATTGCAGACGTGATTTTTTGTTATACAAATATAAAGTTCTTAAGACTATTTAGGAACTGAAGTTCAATGAATTAGGTACTATATAACTTGATTTAATGATTTCAAGTGTTTACTAGCCATAACTCATCAGTTCAATTAAAATATTCGCATTATTCGAAAGTACCACGATAATTGTAGTAACCGCGATAATACTCCCGTTTACCCTATTTGATTTTTAAAAACAAATTGTCGATTTTTCTGAGGATGTCTGGACCTCCAGGGGCTCGCTTTTTGAAACAAAAGTGAACACCTGGCCAACTTATTGGGTAAAATCACTATTGGTTTAAAAAAAGGGTTGGTACAGCAAGTTAGATGGTTTATTGGAAAATATCTTTCCATTAAACTTGATAATAGCTAGGGTGTGCTTAAGACAATCGCTGCACCCTATTAACAGTACCTAGTAAGATGAATAACCGCGTCATCTGAGGGGAACTTTGCTAGGGGCCCTCACGAAAGACTCGTATACTTGGGGAAAAAGATGGTAATTATGGGAAAGAAAACATGGGAAGGAAATATTAGGGCCGTAGAAGACGTAAAAACTCTACAATGGTTATACGTGGAATCTTAATACTAATACTAATACAAAACATTTTAATTGGAATGCCTAAATTCAGTTGGTAAATACCCCTTGACCATCATGTTTCAGTATTATTTATATACCTACAATTCTTTTTCAACTGTTAGTAAAACAGTATATCTTATATATACATCTAACCTTGGGACGGTCAATCTCGAACGGTATTTAGTAAATCGCAGCACTAAATTAGACCTTAGACTGATTTTTCCAAAAAGTTGACCTGATCCCTCGTCTTACTAGAACAGCCTTTCTTCATAATAGCTCTTAACTGAGCCACAACCGCTCCTTATGTCTCTAATTGTAATGTACGCTTGTGACCTTTTTAAAGCGACTTGATGTATTCTATAATTGTTTCATACCTCTCTACTATTCAATCTTTGAGTACTGACAATTTAAACATAATCGAATTTGCCGGATTAGAGTAGGTTAACATTCTTGGGAACGATTAGTACAACATACTTCACCATGGTGTCTTATAGAAGCCCTAGCTCACCCTTTCCTCTCTTAAAAACTCTAGAACCTCATTAATATTGGTAACATTAGCAATAGTTTATTACGTTATAAACTTAAAACTGCATACTTTGCTGAATGGACTTACAGTTTATCTGTTTACCGTAACAGTAATTCTTCATGTATCAACTTTAACAGAATCGTAAAAAACCTGTATTATAATTTTTTTATTTATTAAAATATTTTGAAGTGACACGGGCTTTGTGCATTTTCTCTAACCGCATTATTATCCTCATGTCAAAATCTAATTGAGGCTTGAAACATAGTATTTTGTACTTTATTGGTTATATGTTTTTAATAGTGTAATCTTACTAGATTTTTTTTAAATATTTTTGTCAATTCAAAGAGATTTAAATTAACTTATAAATTGAAGTATCACAATAATACTCATGATTTATTATAGAAGAACTAGCGGTACTTTTATTTTATACTGAGTTATAATTTTCATAGATGGAGCTCAATATTTTAAAATTGCTGTTTACGTCATTACACGTGACTCAGCATAACCCAATCAATTACTCGGAAAGGAGGCTTTACTTAAACCTCATTGATTTTTTTAAGAAAGAATATTCTTTTTAAGCACTTGTCATTCCTGTTTTCAAAACTTGTGTGTGTGTGTCTGTGTGTGTTTACATACAAGTTTTTGTGTGCATATATGTGGGAGTATAAATTTATCATAAATTAAAAAAAAACAACTTAGTACAGGGTCTTTTTATTAATTACTAGATGGAACGTCTTCGTGCTGCGAATATGAACAAGCAAGTTCATAAATCCATGGAGCACTGGTTGGAGACTATTAAATATGTACAGGAGTGTCGAAAGCGAGAAATTGCTAGTACCAGCAAACGACAGAAAGAAAATCTTCACTGCATATCTACTCACGATGATACTGGTCAGTATTTATAAACAGATCTCTTAGTTGATATTTAATATACCTTCTATCTTTCACATTTTAAGTTAAAAAATTGATTAACTGTTAACTGATATGAATTCAAATGTGAGCAAACACTAAATTGTTGACAGTTCATGAATAATGTACTTGACCATTGGTATTAAAAGATTTAAAAAATATGGTTACTACACCAAATACATCTTTATTAACTGCAATTGATGACAACAAACATTCGTGTGTTATTAACCCAAAGCTTCAATTATGGTTAATGAACCATTGATTTTATCAATATATCAACTAATATCGCACATCTTTTTAATTACAGATATTAGAGGTTAAAGGTGGCTTTATCTTGTCAACAGCTTTTTGGAAATAAACCTTTTGTTTTTGACAGTCGGCATAACCTAAAATTTTTTAATAAATCAATGGAAAACCACTTTGGCAGTTTAAAAAAATTTTTTCCATTTTCTTACGTAAAAATACTTAATTTAAATGAAACGTTTCAAGAGTTGAGCTTTTTTAACGTTGAACGAGGACGAGTTTTTTTATAATAGAAAACGGATGGTTTTTGATACTTAATTTTTTTTTTACAACTTCTATCATAGACAATTTTACTGATGTTTTTCGTATTTTAATGTTTAATAAAGGCTCATTTTTACCATTATGTCTAGTTTCAAATTCATCATAATTTTTATGGATCGGACTTCATGGTTTATTCTGAATTGAAAAAGTTAAAATTTAGAAAAACTGAAAAAAATTATTGTTGGATATAAGGATTCCTTGTTTTTTAAAAATCGTTATATAGTTCTTTTATTATTTATTATCATAAGGAATTAAGTTTTAATCATAGAACTTATTGTCGTATAATATTACTCAAACTAAAGAGTTTAATGTGGTACAAACTATCGTAATAATTTTCAAGAGAATTAAAAAAAAACTTGAGTACGCTCCGTAATTAACCGCTTATTATTTATCGTTTTCAAACGATACGAAAAAAAGTTCGATTTGAAGTGAATTATTTGCCCAAGATGTAGGTTATATGATACTCAGACAAAATAAAAAAATTATTTAAGTCAAGGTAACACATTTTTAGTACACAAAAATTGAATAAATTGAGTCATTAACTAGTACAGTTTTTATATAATTTTTATTAGTTTACATTCTTTTTGCCTTCAGAGAAGTATTCTTTTGCTGTAAATTCGTAAATTTAATGAATGTGTAAGTAATTAGTTATTCTACTCAAATTTAGGTATTTTGAATTGAGAATTTTTTCCCTCATCGTTTGCCAGATTATTTTGTAAAGCAATCATTTGAATTTTCGAACTTCTGCGTAAGATGTAGCCAATCCTTCACGAGATAATATATCAATTAAGTAGCTAGATGCATATTTTTTATGAATCTAGGCCAATAAACCAAGAAGAATCATCGTGCAAAAATATTTTGGCTTTGCAAATGCTACGATGTAGTGTAATAATCACTTATTGTAATTAAATTTCTTTAATTTAAGTGATATTACATGGCAATAAGTATTATTATTGAAACCTTATCTCTTATTAACAGAAATAGTTAAAGGAACTGATTATATTTAAAAAAAATTTAGAAACTCGTTCATTAAAGTCATTTTTTTCCATTTTCTGTTTTAAAGCAACGAAAGCTGTATGTATACAAACTTTCACCTACATTTTACTATTTATTATGAGAAAAAAATATTAACTACAGATGAATCAGGTTTTCACCATTTTCGTAGAAAATTCGAAGTTATATCAAAAACAAGTCAAGCACAAAAGTTTTCTTTTTTTTATCTACAACTTGTGTTAGACATTTTTTCCCTGGAGGTTGTATTTCGATGCAAATGTCAAAAACATAGTTTTCAACTTATAAATAGCATCTTTATTTTATCCTTTTTCTGTATTTCATATTCAAACATTTTTTTCAGTCAGTAACAACCTTCACTGTATCTTCCTGATGATCTCTGTCTATTATTGATTTTTTTTTTTTTTTTTTCGGCGTTTAAATCCACTTTAATACTATCCCGTTATGCTGCGAAGTGAACTGCTATAATTAACGAGTTGATATTAGTAAAACGGACGATAAGTCATCACCAAAATCTTGTCAAGTGTCTGTTCAGTTAGCAACAGCTAGTCATGTAATATTGGCATAAACAAAGCTAAAATTATCTGTGTAGTGTTTTAATCTGAACTAACGGTAAAAGTGTGAGTTTGTAGCTGTTTATAGCTCAGATGCTGCTCAAGTTATTCATACTATCCATGCATGCAATCAGTTCTTGAACTTTAATAGATACTTTAATTAAAACAGTACACAAAAAGCTTATACTCAAAAATTTATGTCTAATTCTTTCACAAAAAAATAAATTATACTTTCCAAATTATGTTCCTATAATTTCTGATCAAGTAGCTAATCTTTTGCAGAATGTAAAATAAATACAATTGTAGTAAGATACTTAATAACAAAAACAAATATCAGTATTTTAAAAAAACGTTAAGTATATCAAATTAATTTCTCGGAATGTAATTCTATTCATATTGGATAGACAAGATGCGCTCTTTTTAGTTAGTAAGCAAAGTCCCAAAAAACGTTGTAATCGCTAACCACGAGAACTACTTAACCCATTTTGCTGAAATTTTGCACACTCATTCTTGATACTTCTTAGATAATTTTCTCATGGTTTTTTCTAAAAAGGAAAAAAAAAAAAAAAAAAACTAATAATGATAGCAATAAATGAGCTCAAAATTTTGTAAAAAAGTGCTAGTTTTGCGCTTTAGATCAGTAGAATTCATGAAGTGGCGTCGAAGAGAAATCGAAGCTACCTGCAATCGAAGTCAGTGAGTTTGATGATATTATCCTTGAGAAAAATATAGATTACCATAGTTGTTCACTGGCAGTACGTCATAACAGTAGGATCCGCTAGGTAGCCTCGAGGTAAAATTAAAGCCACCCAGAATCAAAGATGATGAAAAGTGATTATAAGATGCCCCATCGAATTGTCGATTGTCAAAGCCATTCATCAGCAGTTCACCTGGAACTCAGCTGTTTGTCGGCTGCTGGATACCCCGGCTACATACGACACTCTGACAGTTTCCAATAGGCAAGCCATCTACGCCGATGTCCACCCTGGACCACTAATATGACCGAGTGCCACAAAAAAATATGTTCTGAATGCCAACACCTCTGGTGTAAAACAAAGAGACGTCGGGAAAAGACCACAACCAGCTCCAACGCTTCAAAGTGTCGTGGCTTTTCTTCTGATAGAATGATACCCCTAGTTTTTCATCTCATTGACCTGCAGCTGGCTCTTCACCATTCAGCATAATTAAGACTGACAGAAAGTATTATTACTGGCCTTTTTAGGCCATTACCAATCTTGGCGTTCACAAAACTACCATCAATCTTACTAGCCCTTTTTAGAGCCATCTACAGTTAAACCACCTCCCAAAAAAATTTTTTTTGCTACTCCTGGCAAATATTATTGCATATATTTAAAAGTAAATTCTGACAACGATTAGTTTACCAACAGACTGTATAAAGCCAGCCCCTTTTAAACAAAGACAGTCATTCACTAACAGTCGTCACGAGTGGAGCTGTTCGTCACGAGACTGTGAACCTTGGTCACTGACAGCCTGACTATTCAACCAGGAATTGCAGATTCTCTTCGAGATCTATGCTCAGCGAACCTAATAGCAAAGCTTTAAAGGAGAAAGAAGCTTGAGAAAATTAAACAGCCTTCAATTGGCAAGCCATACGAACTTATCTCCACCTTGGACTCCTAAATTGAATAAGTTTCAAGAAATAAGGAGGTGCTTTGAACTCTAACCATTCCGATATAACACTAAAAGTCGTTGGGAAAGAGCACTACAACCAACTCCAATACTTAAGAGTGTCATAGTTTTCTTCTGATTAGTCTAATGCTACAACTGCAGGCCAGAGAAAATACAAGTATTCACGCAGTCAGGTTTGCTGTAAACTTCAGTCAAGAAAGTGGTTAACTCATTTTAATGAGGTGACTAACCAGAGTGGGCCATCTAACGTCGAGCTACCTCGAAAACAAGTACATTAAACAAAGTTGGCAAAAAGTAGCTCTTTTTAGGGCTCACACAAATTTTTAACTATGACTAGAGTTTCAAGTGGGTAAATTGGTAGAACATTTATCGAGATTGAAACAGCAGCTTCAAAATCTACGAATAAATAATCTAATGAGTAATAGTTCATTCCATTGTTACCCTGATATTAGTTACTTAAATTTTTCAGCTATTCAAATAGGTGGAATAATGTATAATTATTCATTGTGGCGCCAAAAGAGAGATAGATGAGGCTGAAGATTTTTGTTGCTCTGGTGGTGAAGTTTTGTATTACAAATTACAAATTGAAGAAAAAAAAAAATAAATGAAATCATATACTTTTTATGATTGTTGAATTCTTACAGTTTTTACAAATAGCTTTTTTATACATTATAACTTATATTTCATATCTTATTATTCGATCACAACTGCATCGATTCGAAACAGAAAATTTTTGAAGTTATACTTCTATAGACGCGTTATGCACAAGGGTAAATCAACGACTTTGAATTTTGAACTTGAGAAAAAGTGTGATGGAAGTGGATTTTGCTTTTTTGCTTGATTCTCCCCTTCACCTTCTTCCTCTTGACGTATTTCCGGTTTCCTCTACACCACATGATACCACATCACATCACCACGCCACACATTTTATTTCAAACAAGATTTGAACCCTGGACCTTTTGCACACTAGTCGAGGTCCTTACCCACTCAGCTACGAACAAGCCCAAGAAATAAAATTCATATTGCTGCATCTTATGGTGCAGTTCGTAACTTTTTTTAATGTAAATTCTTATTTAAGAGAGTTCACTTGCTCAGAGAATTAACGTCAATATATTGACAATACTTTAAACAGAGATTAACTCGTGTATGAAATACCTTCGATTCAAATTTCAAGTCCCTTTAGGGCTTACAAAGTGAGATATT